ATATATATTATTTTTGTTTTAAGTGTATATTATATTGTATAATGTACATTCAATACAAAACTAATATACATTTAAAATATTAAAATATATTTTTTGTTATGATCCATATAACATTGTGTGGAACATCTTTGCCTTTAAGATCAAGTCGTACTGTACCAACATTGCAATATGTGGCAATGAAGAGATAATCCCTTGCAAGATTGTCCAAATATGGTACCTATGTCCTTCACTGGAAGGAAATGAAATCTACTCCATCTATCCAACTTTGTTTATCTACTTCAGTTAACGAGGTATGAATGAAGTTACTTTTTTATTCACTTTTTCATAATGGCCATATTTGGTAACATAATTAGTTTATTAGTCAATTTTCGCTTATTTGATCACTATTAACTATTTGACTTAGTTAAACAATCAATATAAGTGTTTGATTAGTTAATTTTTTGTAACAGCTAAATGCTCCAAAACACTAAAATTCAAAAAGTTGTCCAAAACAGATTTTTCGATCAATATTTTGAGAAAGTCATTTTATATGTTGATGGGGTGAGAACCCCGGCCCAAGAAAGTTTGGCCCAAAGAAAGGGTCTGAGACAAGAAAGGTGGGCTGGTGTCAAAAGAAGCCTGGAGGGCGCTTGGGCCGAGCTCGGGAGTCGGCCCAAGCCCAAGCACGGAGATCTAACTCGGAGCTGCTATAAGGAGCCCAGCAGGAGTTTGGGCCGGGACGAGGAGTCGGCCGGGGCCCAAGCCCAAAGAAAGACTTGGTTCAAGAAGCCGTTGAGAGCATTAAAAAGACTCGTTTGAACAGAGAGCCGTTAGGGCATTGAAAGCAGGACTCGGTCAGGCTGTTACAAGCTTGCGAGAGCCGTTGGCCGACCGAGTAATGGCGTCCAACGGCTCGACGCTCTAATTAGCTTTGAAGTCGGCCATTAAGGGCCTTTAAATCAGTGGGGGAGGAGCCTGCTATATAAAGGCTCCTCCACTCTTGTAAGGACGACAAGTAAAAAAAGACCCGGAGAGAGGAGTAAAACAGATTATAAACGTGTGCTTCACTCAAATATACATTTTATTGAAAGGTGTATCCTCCAGCTGAAGGTTGTGTTGGACCTCCTTGGGCCCGAAAACCCAAAAACCATCACTGGCGCCGTCTGTGGGGATCGAACTAAGAGTCGCGTGTCCTCCTGAGCAAGGCGAGTTCGAGAAACAACAAGAAGAATCTTGGTCGTAAGACGCAAGGAGTCCGAAAAGCTCCTAACATGGCTGGAAGTCAGGAACAGTTAAGCCGACATGATAGAGGATTGCGGGCGGACTTGAGAAACCAATTGAATCGGAAAAACACTCGGAGCCGGGAAAACGAGACAACGCCGCCGCCGACACCACCAATAAACCAGCAGCCGCCTCAGGTGCAGCTCACCCCAAAACAACTACACGCGATCGGGCGTGCCTTCGCCAAGGCGAGCCGAGGAGTAAGAGAACAATCAGTCACTCGTTTACCGCAACGCAATCAGCAGCCGTCCCATGGGCCCGATGACCGGCAACAGAACCGCCGAGCCGAGAGCCAGCCGGTACAGTCCGTTCATTCTCGGCTAGGTCCGAGCGCCGGACGGTGGTCGGCGAGAGAACGACTAGGACGGAGGGAACCCAGTCGTGCCCCGTTGGTTGCTTGCGATCGGCAGACTGCGCGCGAGAAAAATCGTACCAGAAGAACCAGAACTGAGGCTCGCCGTATAGAGCAGCCCGTCTGCAATCGTGACGAACCGGCCGAGTCGGAGGTCGGTGAGAGCACGGAATCAACAGGAAATCATACCCGGGAGAGGGTCGAAGTGGCAAACTTAGTCCAAGAAGTGCGAAATCTGAGAGAGCAGGTAGAAGGAAAAGCCAAATCCCCGGGATGTACGTTATTAACCACCTTGCCCTTCTCGGACAAGATCATGGCCTTTAAGATACTGGGTGATTTCAAATTCTCGGAGCAAGCCATGTTCGATGGGTCCGGCGACCCTCGAGAGCATTTGCTGAGCTACCAAGCCAAGATGCAGGTCTTGGGAGTTCAAGACCCGGTCATGTGTCGCGCTTTCCTGCCCACATTAAAAGGCCCGGCACAAAGGTGGCTAGTGGCACAGCCGCCGGGGTCGATTCGTAGCTTCGAAGAGCTAGCGGACCACTTTATGAGCCATTATGCCGCTAATATCAGACCACAAAAAGACTTGACACACCTAGGCGACATTCATCAGGATGAGGGCGAATCCTTAAAAACCTATCTGGCCTGTTGGCAGAAAGAAATCCAGTCTATAGAGGAGGTCGAGGACCAGACGAAACTCACCTTCTTCATCGAGTCCCTGCGGTCCGGCCAGCTATACCGAGATCTGCGGGACAACCGCCCGGCTACCTACGCGGAAGCCATCCATATGGCCAACAAGAGGGCCAACACGGAGCAGGCTATAAAACACAAACGGCAGCGCGAAGTCGGCGGGTCCGCCAATGGAAAGATAACGCGAGCCGAAACCAAGGAAAGGCGCCCGGACGCGACCAGGTGATCTGAAGTCAGGCGACCATACGACAGGCCCGCCGTACACCCCCACCGGCCGGCTCCCGAACGGCCGGTGCATGAAATACAAGCGGTCGCCCCGCCTCCGCCTCAGCCGATTGATGACCGCATCACTAGTGAGGAGACGGGTAAGACCTCTAAATATTGTCATTACCATAAATCTTATACCCATAGCACAGAAAAATGCTTTTACCTGAAGAAGATCATGGAGGGTATCATCCAGCAAGGAACCCCGCCTCCTAATCAATGGAGACGGAGGTCGGCCAATCGAGGGGACGAGGATCCCGCCGTCGCCGCCGTGAACAATCGGGGCAAGCAGCCTGCTTCTGAAGAAGATGAGGCTCAGTTGCATCAAAAGCCGGTTATCAACATGATAGTCGGCGGGCCGGAAGGTGGTGACTCAGCGAATACTCGAAAGGCCTGGGCCCGACAGCTGTATGTCAGGACAGTGTATGGGCGCGAGGAGAATTCTAAGAAGGCGTGCCGAGAGCCCATCATCTTCACCGATAGAGATTTACCGGCTGGAGAGACGCCGCATCGAGATCCCGCATCAAGATGCCGCATCGAGATGCGTTGGTTATAGCCATGGACATCAAGGGGGTAGTCGTTCGTCGAATCCTGGTCGATACCGGGAGCAGTGTTAATGTGTTATACCTGGAAACCTTCATGAAAATGGGGTTGACCCGAGATCAGCTGAATTCCGTCAAAACTCCACTCGCCGGTTTCACAGGGGATTCGGTAGAGGCCGAAGGATCCATCACTCTGCCAGTTGAGATTGGCAGTTACCCAGACGTACATAAACTCAGTATGAAATTTATCGTGGTAAATTTGGCCTGCTCGCATAATGCTATACTCGGCCGACCGGGTCTAGAGGATCTAGGAGCTCTGATTTCAATCGAGCACCTCTGCCTGAAATTCCGCACGCCAAATGGAATAGGTACGGTGCGCTGCGACCGGAAGGTCGCCCGCGACTGCTACCTGCAAGCCTGCCGAGGAATGGGCAAGCAAGAGATGCAGGTCCATGAGATCACGGAAAGGCCCCCAAAGAAGACAATGATACCTCGCCCCGAGCCGGCTGTTGAATTGGAAGAGGTGGAGATTGATCCTGAGCAACCGGATAGGCGGGTCCAAATTGGGGTCGGTCTCCCGCTAGAGGTAAGAGAAGAAATCATAAAAGTGCTCTGAGAACACCGGCTGGTTTTCGCCTGGGGTCCAGAGGACATGCCCGGTGTCGATCGATCCATTATATCGCACCGACTCGCTGTAGACCCTGAGCATCGACCAGTCGTACAAAAGAAGCGGTACCTGGCCAATGATCGGAGAGAATTCGTAAAAAAGAAGGTAAGCACGCTGTTAGCAGCCGGACGTGTCCGAGAGGTTAAGTACCCGGAGTGGTTGGCGAATGTGGTTCTTGTACCGAAGCCCCCGACGTGGCGAATGTGCATCGATTATACCGACCTTAATAAGGCCTGTCCTAAGGACCCGTTTCCATTACCCCGGATTGACCAATTGGTTGATGAGACCGCCGGGTCAGCTTTGCTGAGCTTCATGGACGCCTTCAGGGGGTACCATCAGATCTTCATGCACTCGGCAGACGAAGAAAAGACCGCGTTTCTAACGCCGGACGGAGTCTATTGCTATCGAGTCATGCCCTTTGGGCTTAAGAATGCCGGAGCTACATATACGCGAATGGTGGCTCGACTATTCCAGCACTTGCTGGGAAAATCAATGGCCGCGTACGTCGATGACATGCTCGTCAAGAGCCGAGAGGAGAGCAAACATGCAGAAGATCTGGTCAACTGTTTTAAAGTAATGATAAGATATAATCTCCGGTTAAATCCCAAAAAGTGTGCTTTCGCAGTGCAAGGTGGAAAGTTCTTGGGCTATATGGTCACCAAGCGAGGTATTGAGCCTAACCCGGAGAAGGTACAGGCCATCGTCGACATGCAGCCCCCCAGCTCCATCAAAGACCTGCAACGATTGACTGGTCGACTGGCCGCCCTTAGCCGCTTCCTGAGCAAAGCGGCGGATAAGACGGTGCCCTTCTTCGAGGCCATGAAGAAGAAGGAGGGATTCGCTTGGACCACCGAGTGTCAACAGTCGTTCGAAGAGTTGAAACAATATCTCTCAACACCCCCGGTATTGTCTACTCCCCAGGCGGGCGAGCCCTTATTCTTATACTTAGCCGCCTCCTCTAAGACGGTGAGTTCGGTGCTAGTCCGAGAAGAAGAGCGCGTTCAGCACCCGGTTGAAGGCCGCCGAGTCGGTGATCATTGGCCAGGTACCGCTTGAAGGCCGAGTCGCGGTATACCGCCCTGGAGAAGATTGTATACGCGTTGGTGATCACCGTGCGAAAGCTAGCACCTTACTTCCAAGCCCACACCGTCCGAGTGCTGACTGACCAACCGCTTGGGAGCGTCCTGCGAACCCCTCGTCGTCCGGCCGACTAGTGAAATGGGCCATGGAACTAACCCAGTATGGGATTGAGTACCAGCCCCGGTCCTCCATAAAAGGTCAAGCCTTAGCCGACTTCTTGGTCGAGTGCACGGCGAGCGAAGAAGAAACGGAACACGCCACGGAGGACAGTTTAGGCGAGTGGTGGGAAATGCATGCAGACGGAGCGTCGAGTCGACGACACTGCGGGGGTGGAGTTATGCTCATCTCCCCGGAGGGGTTCCGACTATACTATGCCTTAAGCTACTTGTTTCCGACATCTAACAATGAGGCCGAATATGAAGCTGTGCTAAATGGTCTGCGACTCGCCAAGGCCTTAGGAGTGGAGCGATTGAGAATCAAGACCGACTCCAGATTGGAAGTCGGGCAGATCTCAGGCATGTGTGAGGCTAAGAACACGCGGATGACTTTATATAAAGAGCGAGCGGTCGAGATGTTAAAGAAATTCGGAGCTTACGAAATAGAATACATCTCCCGGGCAGACAACGTGGAAGCCGACATATTGTCTAAAATTGCCTTGGAGGGAGTACCGGATCATCTTGTGAAGATCTGCCAAAAGGAGGAGTTAGAGCGACCAAGTATCGAGGAAACAACAGTAGAAGTCCAGCAGGTGACCGGCGAGGAATGGGACCGAGAGAAGAACCCCGAGATGTTCTGGATAGAGGACATCCGACGATTCAAGGAAACAGGCGAATTGCCGGAAGATCCGGGAGTCGCCGCTAAGGTTCGACGAAAAGCCCCCTCTTTCGAAATCATTCATGGGCAGCTATACAAACGGTCGTTCGGGGGTCCTCTGTTGAAATGCTTGCTCAGGCCCGAGGCCGAAAAAATAATGGACGAGGCTCATAGAGGCATCTGCGCCGCACACCAGGGCGCCCACACGCTCGCCCGAAAGTTGGTCGTCCAGGGGTATTATTGGCCGACCATGATGCGAGACTGCATCGAATGGATATCCAAGTGTGGCATTTGCCAAGCGTTCGCCAGAAAGGACACTCGGCCGGCTACCTTCTACACGCCGGTCACCACGGCTATTCCGTTTGCTAAGTGGGGAATCGACTTGTTGGGGCCGTTACCAGTAGCTCCCGGGGGCCTGAAATTTTGTGTCGTAGCTATCGACTACTTCACCAAGTAGGTTGAGGCTGAACCATTGGCCACTATCACCGAGTACCAATGCCGACGCTTCCTATGGAAGAAGGTGATTTGCCGCTTCGGCTTGCCCGAGAATATTGTCAGCGATAATGGGCGACAGTTTGACTGCCAAGCGTTCGCTGACTTCTGCCGTCGACACGATATCTGCCATACCAAGGTATCCGTGGCGTACCCGCAGGCCAACGGGCAAGTCGAAAATGTGAATCGAACCATAGTGGATGGAATCCGAAAGAAATTGGAAGATATCCAAGGAAATTGGGCGGATGAGCTTGACCGAGTCCTATGGGCTTATCGCACTACGCAGCGGCGAGCAACCGGAGAGAGCCCATTCTCCCTCGCGTACGGCTTCGAAGCTAAGGTCCCAATTGAAGTGGTCGAGCCCACTCACCGGGTCCGTACTTATTCCGACACGGAGAATGAAGAAAGTCTTCGAATTGAGAAAAATTTCCTAGAGGAAAGAAGAGAAGCCGCGAGTGCTCGGATGGTCGAATATCAACAAGCGGTAAAAAGATATTGCGATCGAAGGATTCGCCCACGAGCCTTCCAGGTCGATGATCTCGTATTACGAGACCGGCAAGCGAGCCAGCCCGCGGAAGGAGGGAAGTTCGCAGTAAAGTGGGAAGGACCTTATCGCATTGCCGCGGTGGTCCAGGCCGGCACTTACAAGCTTGAAACTCTGGAAGGCAAGCCTGTGGACCGAATCTGGAACGTCATCCACTTGAAGAAGTTCTATCAGTAGGAAAGGTTAAGCCATATAGAGGCCCAAGGGTACTGAAAGACTTGAATAAAAGAGTACGGATTACTGATAACCATCGCCCGGACTCGGCAAGAAAAGATAGGAAACAAGGGCCCAGACCCTTAGTCGTTTCCGTGAAAAAGCCAAGAGGAGTCGCCTCGACTGAGGGACTCGGCGAGTATATAAAGAAACAATGGGGCGCTGACCCTAAAACGTTTCTGAGAAAGAAAAAGCCTAAGGAGTCGCCTCGACTGAGGGACTCGGCGAGAAAAGTTAGGAAACAAGGGGCCAAACCCTTAGTCGTTTCCGTGAAAAAGCCAAGAGGAGTCGCCTCGACTGAGGGACTCGGCGAGTATGTAAAGAAACAATGGGGCGCTGACCCTAAAACGTTTCTGAGAAAGAAAAAGCCTAAGGAGTCGCCTCGACTGAGGGACTCGGCGAGAAAAGTTAGGAAACAAGGGCCCAGACCCTTAGTCGTTTCCGTGAAAAAGCCAAGAGGAGTCGCCTCGACTGAGGGACTCGGCGAGTATATAAAGAAACAATGGGGCGCTGACCCTAAAACGTTTCTGAGAAAGAAAAAGCCTAAGGAGTCGCCTCGATTGAGGGACTCGGCGAGAAAAGTTAGGAAACAAGGGCCCAGACCCTTAGTCGTTTCCGTGAAAAGGCCAAGAGGAGTCGCCTCGATTGAGGGACTCGGCGAAAGTATAAGGATTCAATAGGGCGTTGAGCCTAAGTCATCTCTCAGAATCAGAAGGGCCCGATGCCTTAGAAATATTTCTTCGATTTCCAAAACCCTAAGGAAGTTAATCGGGTTCAAGGCAACACAGAAGGAAAGAGAAGAAGGAAATTTCATTAAAATTCAAAAAGGTCCGAGAAGGAGGCCAGCCTTTACAAAAAGGGGCTATCCTAAAAGAATAGCCCTAAGCTACTGGGGAGGGGGTGTCGACAACGACCCCTCCAACTTGTGCCCTTGCCGTTGGTCCAGCTGGGGGAACAGAAGAAGGGTCCTCTGCCTGAGGGGAGGACTCGGTGAGATTAGGAGGAGCCGCCGCAGGGAAAGCCGCCGGATCAGGAGCCGCCGCCGGCCCTTCAGCTGCCGGAAGAACGTCTATCACCGGCTTGAGGCCCCAGCTCTCGGGAGTAAAAGAGGGATCGCGGACCAGCAGGGCGGAGTGGATTTCTGTCTGCGCCTCGCGGAAGCCGAGGCGATAGTCGCGCTCGCCCAGATCCAGAAGGAAGTCGTCACCTTCCGGCGTCGCCAGCCACTCTTTGGCGATCTCCTTCTGACGGGCCTCTATCGCCGCCTTCACATCCGCCTCGAAGGCCACCGACTTCTTGTAGTCCTCCACCGAGGTCGTGGCGATGGTCGCCACTTTGTCTCGCTCCTCCTCCCACTGACGGGTGACCTTTAGCATCTTGGAGTTATGCACTTCCACCGCCTTGGCGTGCTTAGCTTGCTCTTCCAAGAAGGCCTCCTCTGTTTGGTGCACCCGGACGGCCATAGACTTAAGCCCGGTCTTATACTCCCTTAGTCGCCGGCTCATCTCCATTTGGAAGGTGAGATTCTGCAAGGCGACGGGAAGTCAGAAAATGAAAGGAAAAGAACGGAAAGAGAAACGAGTCGGAAACACTTACGCGGTACGACTGGCGTAGCGAGGCCTCAATGATGTACTCGTCCCCCAGGGCGACGGTCGTCGCCACGTCCTTAGGAAGAAGGACGTTTACAGCCCATTTGCGGACAGAGGAGTTGCCTTGCCAGATCTGGGCATCCTCGTCCACCTCATGGCTCAACCGGATCTTCTTTGGGGCCGGCGTGTTCGTCTGCTCGGCCGGCCGTTTGGAGCTCGGACTCGCGTATGGGGGAGGAGGCGGCTGTCGAATCGGCGACACAACGGGCGATGGCGTCAGGTCGACCACGTCGCGGGATGATGGAGGAGTCGACCTTGGAGCTGGTGACGGTAGGGAGGAAGAGGCAGCAGTAGTGCCGGAAGCGCGCTGGGTCAGCCGACGCCTCATTTTTTCAGCTCTGTCTGCCATCTCAGGAGTCGGCACAGCAGCCTCGTCGAAACTGATGGAGTCGGAGTCGTACGGACCTGCGAAAGAAAAGAAATTCATAAGTATTCCGAGTCGGAATGAGACAGAATAAAAAGAAGCAGGAAAAGAGAGGCAATGAAAACTACCTACGGTAGCCGCACCCTCCGGCAGCAAGCCACGCTTGGCCATGGCCCGGACTCGGGACCAGTACTTGACGGAGTACGGCCCAAAGCCCTTCAAGAACTCTCCGCCCTGGACCGCATCGTTAGTGAAGACGGCACGCCGAGAGCAAGGCTTGAATAGAGCGGCCGGCCACAGGCTCGGAAAGGTGAAAGAAGAGAAAGCAGGTCGAACAAAGAAGTAGAGGAGCTTCCAGTCCTTAATGGAGTCGGACAACCCCTCGAAAAGTTGTCGCCTCGGACGAGCGGCAACTTGGACAAAACCCGGCGAGTGTGAGCCGACCTTGTTCACGGTAAAAAGATACCGAAACAGGTCTAGATCCGGCTCACACAACCACCAATGGCAGAGGTTTATGAAGCAGGTGAGTTGTCGGTGAGAATTGGGCACCAGTTGGCCCGGAACTACGTTGTAATGACGATAAAAAAGGGAGAGGAAAGGACATGGAGGAACTCGCCAGCCAAAGGCAACCGAGTGCAAATGAATGGCAACACAACCCTCGGGTGGGTTGTAAATTTGTCGGCCTTTTGGAGCGAGGACTACGGCCGAAGGCCCAAGAAGAAATTGGGCCATTTCCAGGTCCGCCACAGTAACGACGGACGGTGGCCCGGAAGGACGGACGATCGAATCGAACTTGCCTCGCGGCCGTCCGGTGCCAACCGGCAAAGCAGCCACCGTCGTTAGAGGAGCGGGGCTCATCGGAGTAACCGCCCCCGAAGAAGAGGGGGTTGGAGGAAGAGAAGACGTTGATGGAAGATCCGCCGGAAGTTCCATGCGACGGGGAGGAGAAGAAGAAGACGAAGAAGGAGAAGAAGAAGACGAAGAAGGAGAAGAGGAAGACGGGGAAGTCGCCGCTGGGTTATCAACCGAGCGACAATGAGAAGAAGAAGAATGAGAAGAGGAAGACATTTACCAACCTGAGCGAGGACTGAGGGAAATGCAGAGAAGACCGAAAAAGCTTGGAGTTGAGTTCGAAGAGTTGAGAGAAAGTGAGAGGAAGAGGAAGAAGGTGGCTATTTAAAAGGGGGAGAATCCCAACGGACGGCCACGTGTCGCCTCCGCGTTGGAGGGAAGAAGGGTGACAGGAGGTGAAAAGACGCCGCAATTAATGCCTTGAAAGACGGAGCGACGGTTCAGGCCTAGGGCTAGCCTGCAGACGGCGCGTCTGCCCTAGGTTAGGGTCGAATGACGGTGACCCGGCCTGCTAAGCCAGAAGCCCATCATAGGCCTCGGCCTCTAGGCCCACCGGGTACGGGCTGGAAGCTTCTAGAAAGACCCGGTAGAACCCGGCCCATCAGATGACACAGGTCAAGTTGGCGAAAAGACTTCGGTCATGAAGTCGGCAATCAGATTTGGCGACTCCCTCGCCAAGAGGGTCTCGCCGTAAAAAGACACGGAATCGGTCACATAGGCCGGAGGTCGGACAAAAAAATGTATAGAAAAATAAGAGTCGGACACAAAAGGCACATAGTTTATTTAATAGAGTACGGGAAATTACAAGGCCTAGGACTCGGCCGGCGTAAGTTACAAGAGAAAAGAAGATCAAGGCTCGGCTTCTTTCTCTCCTGACGGGCGAGCAGTCGGAGGACCCTCCAGGAAGTACTGAGGCCGGAAAGGCAGAGGACTCGGCTCTGGATCCGGCAGCTCATCCAGATACACGACCGGCTTCCCGTCATCAATCATTTGTAGAGGCCTCTCCAGAGCACTCGGCGACCTCTGGTTCTGGATCCTCCACCACCGGCTCCATCTCCACGTCGATAGGCTCCTTACACATTAGGTCCAGCATGTCCGGGGGCACCACAATGGGATCTGAAGCCGAGTCGCACACCAAGCGTCCTCCATTAGCCAGCCTCTTTTGCTTCAGCTTTTTCAGTCGAGTGTGCTCCTGGTTGCGGATGGACCAGCGACGATCACCGTCTCTGTAACTCATAGCTTCAAGCCTTTGAAAATGAGGGGTATTGTGATTTGCACCAACCGTGAAGGGTCCTTATATAGCCCAGTGGAAGTGAATATCTAGGTGATAATCACGGAAGGAA